CGCGTGGGGGTGGGGAGGCGCGGCCCGGCATCTCAGCGCGGAGACCCGGAGCCTGCACCATGCCCGGCGCTCTCGAGCCTGGCCGCCGCCGCTTGCATTCGGCTGGAGGCGCTTCGTGCTCTTGCACTGGGTTGGGTCCTGTGGGTTGGCTCCGGGGGCCCAGGGGAGGTGATGGGAGGCTGGTACAGGGAAGAGGTTCCGAACGCTGGACAGCCAAGCATGCAGCATTGCACACGAGAGTCCAGATCCGCGTTTCTTATTTTAAAGGAAAAACGAAATGTCTTTTGGACAAACTCAAGATGAAACTTAGCACATGGTAATTGCTCGTGGATGGATGTGAAACCCACCTCCTGCGTGTGACACAGTAGATCTCGAGTTAGACTAGTTGTTGGAGGATACTGACCTGCAAGGCTGCCTTTTAGGTTATTTAACGAATGACAGCTATTTAAAATTTGTGCGTTTTAGAGGATATTCTTACTTTACCACCCCCTACTCGCTAATCTCCAGGGTTTTTGAAAATATATCAGATACGACAGTCCGAAATGAGTTGATGGTTAGAAATAGTGGTGTCATTTTAGACTTAGCGGAAGTGGAGTACGGGCAAGCTTTATGCAATTCTCCTATCAGTTGTGAAAGTGTCTTTATAATGCGGATCTCACAACCTGTATTGTAGTGGGATCAAAAAGTAAGTCTGCCAATCCGTTTAGCGTTCATCTTAAATTACCTAAACTCTTACCTTGCAGATTGAAATCTCTCAGTGGTAACTCCCGCTAACAAGCAATTGGCGCTGTGCTGAGAGGACAGTAAGGGCAGAGTTTGTCTCCTGTTAGGTGATACAAGTGTGTACCTGATGGGGGAGGAGGGCGATACGAGGTGGCTCCACAGCCTTGGTCACAGCGGTGCTTGAAAGTGGAGTAGGAAGGGAAGTTTAATTTATGTTTATAGGTTAAGTGCATCCGGCCATGTCTTTAAACTGTGGGAAGGTTGATGTAGTGGATAGAGCTTGGAAACCAAGTAGACCTAGGGTTGAAACCATGTATCTATCTATGTAACTTCTCTGGGCCTTAATTCACTCATCTGCAAAATGGAGTAATGCCTGGTACCTTAAAAGTAGACTTAAAAAAAAAAAAGAAAGAAATATTTGCCCCTGAAACTATTGGCCTGAGATAATCTATAAACCTTAAACCAAAAATATCCCCTGAAGTCATCTTAAAACCAAACAGTAGTTTAGCTTAACTAGTAAAAAAGAACTGCTTTGAGCATTATGCTGTTTTCAGAACTATCTATATGGGATCAAGTTGACAACAGATAGGAGGACCCTTAGGGGGCAGTGAGTTTATGTTAATGAAGGAGGAACAACTCAGAAAAGGAGGATGAGAATGATTGTACAACTCAAAGAATGTAACTAATGGCACTAAATTGTATGTGTACAACTGTTAAACTGGTGTATGTTTTGCTGTGTGTATTCTCAACACCAACAACAAAATAAATAAAATCTAGGAGGAAAAAAATTAAAAATATGTGAAAATGCTTAACATATAAAAGACTCTCTAAATGTTAGCTATTATTTCCTTCTGCAAAATACCTTCTAGGTTCCTTGTAGGCCTAAGTTTTTTGTGTTAAATGGGATGCATACTAGCTTTGGTTTTCTTTATGAATTATAAACCCTGCCTGTCTTGAAAGTCAGTGTTAACTAGAAAACCAAAAGGTGGGCTTGCCTTGAGTGTTTTTCATTTTCATCAACAATAAATCAGGTTAGTGTCTCTTGGAATAGCTGTTCCTGCCTCTAAATGTAGGGTTTATGTGTGTCTCTGTGACTGTGAAACTAGGTGAAGATCTCACTTCACTGCTCGGTAACTTTTTTGTTGCAAATGGTATGTTAGCACCTATAAAGGACATCTCTGGGAGGTGGGGAGGGGTTTTGGTTTTTGTTCATTTGTTTTAGCTAGAAGGAGGTCCAGGAGATCATCTGCCTAACCAGTATTACTTAGTGGACAGGACAGAATTCAAGTGTCTAACCCCTCTTCCACGTGCCAGACAGCTTCTCAGGTAGTAACTGTTCTGATCATTCTTTCAGCAAGCATCTGTTAAGCATTTACTGTTGTGCTCTCCCAAGAAGCTCTTGGTCTGCAGGATTGAGCAACAGGATTCTGTAAAGGGTAAGAGCTCAATCCTTGCAGTCAGATGGCCTGAGTTCCAGCACTTGGACAAATTTTCTCACTTCTTTAGGCCTCAGCCTTCTCATCTGAAAAATAGTACCCACCTCATAGGGCTGCTGTGAGGATTAAAGAAGATAATCTATGTAAAGCACTTAAAATGGTGTCTTACTATGGATTACACTCAATAAATGTTAGGTATTAGTAGTAGTAAGTGGTAGTATAAGAAACAGAGAGCAGTATGATGAGCACTGTGAGAGAGGTTTGTTCCTGGGTGTAGTGGGTGGAGGGGGACGTGATCTAGAAAGCTTTTGGGAGGAAGAGACAGCCAAGCTGAGCTGTGAAGCATGAGGAGAATTTAGCCAAATCAGGATTGAGTGCCAAGGTAGGGGGACCTCTAATTAATGGAATGGCGTTACCAAAGCCCCTAAGGTGAGAATGTGGGTTGGAACCAGCCAGTAGAGTGAGGAAACCAACAGTTTGGTCTTGATAGGTAAGCAAAGGCTGCATTAGAGTAACTTCAAAATGACGCAGTGGAGACTGAAATTTTTTCATTCTTAACACTAGTGGAGGCAGTAGAAAGTTTTTGAGCTGAGCGCAGATGAGATCAGATGAGTTTTTTGAATGAATGAGCTTACTGTAGTATGGAGATTGGATTGAAAGTGGGCAGGGGCCATCTACTTGTCATTATGGCTTCATGCCTGCCTTGTGACCCCAAAAGGAGAATGATTTCTTACCAGACACAGGCAGTTCAATCTATCTTGGTTAGAGGACTTACAGAAGGCGTGAAGAAACCCTTAGATTATTCCAGGTATCCTTCTCTCTTAAAAATTGTCTTCAAGTATATACTATATAAGCCTGACTACAAGGCAAGGTTTCCCCCCAAAGTATCCCTCTGAAAAGAGGGTGACACTGCATATTCAAGTCTCTCATATTGCAAGACACTCTCTCAACTACTTCATTTTGAGCAAGGTGCTGTTTGAGAAAGACATATTGAGCTGAAACAACCTCAGTCAATGCTAGTTTGGGATATTTATACAATCTTACCAAATCAGCTAAATAAACAAATAAGCAAAAACAAGAAAGAGTAATTCTTCCTCCTTTATGTTTCACAAAGCACAAATTTTAGATGTCATCATAAACAGCTTTTACAGATCGCCAAAAAAAAAAAAAAAATACAGTATGTGATGAATGAAAAATAATTCTGCCCACCTGAATGAGAGTACTTACAGTGTGGGTTGAGATTTCCAGTGATAGCATCACTGTGGATTCAGGAAGTACTCTATTACAGCTGATTTGGTACATGTGAAGGTGATATGCCCTGGAAAGTGGCACTTGATGATTCAGAGTGGCTCCAGTGACTACAAAGACACTGAAAGATCAGGCAGAGACACGTGTACTTGACGTAAAGCAGACGTAATGGAACAAAACTTGGATTCTGTGGTCCTTGGCCTTTGTTACTGACTCAACACCACCTGTGCTCAAGACCCCCATTGTAGGGGCATGGCCAATAATACCAGCTTGCAGAGGGCAAGAGATAGAGTGGGCTTGGGTAAGGGGACTGGTGAAGGTTTGGAGTAGCTGGGATGGCGAAGCTGTAGAGAAAGTAGTTGACAAGAAAAGGCTTCTGGAACGTCCCTGAGGTCCCAGCCAATGTTGGAGAGAATAAATTTCTAATGGCATCTGCCTGGTTGTGTGACTTCTCCTCCCCCTAAAATTCCCGGTTCTGTAATGAATCCTGAGCCCAAGCTAAGTCCTTACACATGAGCCATTTAGTTCTTAGGACAACAGGGGGAAAAGCACAACTTCTAGTCTGTGACTGAGTAAAGATTGAATATGAAAAGCCGTATAATTTAAAAATTATATGATGTATGACTGAAGCTGAGTCACAGTAGTATGGTTCATTTATAGTTTAGTTGTAATTTTTATTTTTTGAAAGCTAATTCAATGCAGTTTATTGTGATGATTAATGAAAAAGCTTGATTTCTAGGTCCTACTTAGAATGACCTTTTAATATTGCAGCCATTTAGACCATTGCAAGTAAAGAGAAGTAATAATTGAGTACCTAGTAGGCACTTTGTATGACATTTCATCTAACAAAAAATTTAGATATAATACAAAATAATTTTTTCATCTGATTTTAAGCATAAATTGACAATTGGAAAAAATACATTTACTTAAAAAAAAAAAAAAAAAAAAAAAAACTAGCCAGCTATCAGAAAATTCAGTTGAGTTCATTTGAGAATAGTGGTGGTGAGTTTGCCTGGGTATATTCTAAACTCACTCGTACTGAAAGCTTGAAAGCTGCCACCTTATTCAGGAGGCACTATTCATACAGTACTGATTGGCATTTTGTGGATTTGTGTAGTACACAGCCTGTGATGTGATGTGGTGGGGGTACCTCCTCAGATAACCGTCTAACAAACCATATACATTTGAATATAAGTGGGTGAGGTTAGGATGCAATCTGTAATTAAATCTCTGTAAAGAAATTTAATTGGAGCCCTGGTGGCGCAGTGGTTTAGAGCTCAGCTGCTGACCAAAAAGGTTAGCAGTTCGAATCCACCAGCCACTCCTTGGAAACCCTATGGGGCAGTTCTACTCTGTCCTGTACGGTCGCTATGAGTCAGAATCAGCTCAACAGCAACGGGTTTGGATTTTTTGTTCTTGTTTTTTATAGCCCAGTATTATCACCACCATTCTTCTCATCTTAAGAGTGTACCTGGGTTCCTTGTATCTTTGCAAAACCATATTTCTAGAGTTAAATATTAAGAGTGTGGCTGTGACTTTTCCTGCACAATTGTTACTTGGAGACCGGAAAATAGTCTTGTTCTGGTTTTATATAGCAACTTTGTTGACATATTAGTTGAACAGTAGGCAGCTATTGATTTATGAGAAAGAGATATACATTGTGTCAGAATCTTCATTTTAATATCCAGGAATAATAACCATGTGATATAAAGAGAAGGGCCTATGATCCTCAGTTTTTACTTTTCAGATTTAAGGTTGTTGTTGTTGTTAGGTTCCATTGAGTCAGTTCCGACTCATAGCGACCTTGCGTACCACAGAATGAAACACTACCTGGTCCTGCGCCATACTCACAGTCATTGTTACGCTTGAGCCCGTTGTTGTAGCCACTGTGTTAGTCCATCTTATTGAGGGTCTTCCTCTTTTTCACTGACCCTCTACTTTACCAAGCATGATGTTTTGGGTTTTTTTAGATTTAAGATATCTTATATAAATTGAAAAGTATAGGAAATCCTAAAATTTTAACAAAGATTATATAATTATATCCAAGCCTAGTTTAAATTTAGAAGATTTTATAATTATGGGAAAAGCTAAGCTGATAACTTTAAATTGCAGTGTTAGTCGCATGGCTAAGTGTTAGTCAAAAGACGAGGTCTGTTTTAAGGAGAGTGTGTATGTGGGTGTGTGTTTTAATGTTTCCATTTATGGCTGTTAGTACTATAGAAATCAGTCAGGATGGGGAAAACGGATTTCTCTGAAGCACTTTCATTAATTATTAATTTCACTTGAAATATGTGTGCGTTGGAATAAAATCAAATTAAGTTGATTGGATCATGGTTCTGGTATGTCAGTTCAGTGTGGTTAGAAAAGAGTTAATGCCAGAAGTCCTGCCCTTAAGATCCTTGGCCCTACAGCCCAGTCACTGTCTAACCTTAGGGAAGGTCTGTTGTCATAAAATGGTGGTTTTGATCTAGAGAAACTGTCATTTGGGACAGCTAATTTGGGCAAATTCATCAAAATCAGTATTTACAAATTAATTTCTAGCAATCCCAAATATGGCCAGTTTTTGCTATTGTTCATTCTCACTCCTTTCAGTTTACTCCTCCATATCTTTCATATATTTTCCCCCCTCCTCTCAGACATGCATGTACATTGTCCCATCTTCAGGACACTGTCATTACAGGCTATCTTCTCTCTGTAACATACCTCCCTGTCAGCACTTGTATATCTTTGCGTGCAGAGTTTTTTTCCTGTCAAAGAGATAATCTCTTGTTCCTGTCTGATTTTGAATGCTAATGGACCCACATTGATACATGCATGCATTTGCATGTCAGGCAAGAGACTGGCAGTAGGAAATCTGGAAAAGGTTTAGTGTTAGCTATAATGTGAGGAATCGCGGGCTGGTTTAGGAGAATGTTGGGACGAGGAGCTCTTGAAGTTAGATTAAAAGCAGCTTTAGCAAGCTGGAGAAGGGGGATAGTTGGATTGACTAATCTTGACTTTGGGCCAAACTGGGAAAGGGCAATACTGTCACAGCCTCTGTGTACATTTAAGTTTCTTTTCTCTAAGTATAATGCTGAATCAGAGTCTTCAGGGCTAAAATTATATATACAGAGACACACACACTTAAATATGTGTAGCCAGGTTAGAGAACCATACAGTCAAACGGACACAGTATTGCTGACTGGTAGCTACAAAAAAAACTATTATCTGTCCTCATTGATGGACAGATGAATGCGGGGCTTCCCTACTCTCAAAGTATCAGAATCCTGGAATAGCAATTAAAAAATCTTAATTATTGGGGGGCTAAAGGGTGGAATGTTATGGATTGAATTGTGTCCCCCAAAAATATATGTTGTGAATACTAATCTCTGTGCCTGTGGTATAATCCCATTTGGGAATGGGTTGTCTTTGTGATGTTAATAGGCAGGATTAGTGCAAGGTGTGTCTGAGTCAGTCTCTTTTGAGATATAAAAGGGATTGAACAAGCAAGTGAGAGTAGGAAAGACAGGGGAAGAGAGATGCCAAGCCATATGAAGATTACCCAGGAGCGGAAGCTCAGAAGAGACAAGAAACTTCCTCCAGAGCCAATAGAGTGAAAGCCTTTCCCTAGAGCCGGTGCCCTGATTTCAGACTGCTGGCCTCCTGAACTGTGAGAAAATAAACATTTGTTTGTTAAAGCCATCCATTTGTGGTATTTCTCTTATAGCAGCACTACAGAACTAAGACAGGCACCCAATGCCTTCTAATAAATTACCTTTCTACTTAAAAAAAAAAAAAATTAAAAAAATAAGCCATCTCTACAGTGAAAGAATAATACACCATAACAAATGAGCAAATTCCATAGTGAAAGAATGGTTCAATATTGGGAAATTTATTAATAATATGTTTCATTATATCACTGAATCTCAACTACTATATCAGATCCAGTACCCCTCCTTTTTAACAAATGTTTTCTACTCCTTGCTAATTCACAAATGGAATCCATAATAATCTTTCTATACTACCCATTGCTGTCGAGTTGGTTCCGACTCATATCAACCCTATAGGACAGAGTAGAACTACCCCATAGGGTTTCCAAGGCTGTAAATCTTTACGGAAGCCACATCTTTCTCCCACGGAGCAGCTAGTGGGTTCAAACCACCGACCTTTTGGTTGGCAGCTCAGTGCTTTAACCATTGCACCCCCAGGGCTCCTATCTTTTAGTTTAAAATAATATATATGTATAATGCCCTGACACTTTATATTTTTTATGTATAAATATGTATATGTGTGTGTGTGTGTGTGTGTGTGCACGCACATGTCCTTCACTATTTGCCTGTTGTATGACTTTTAGAGAAATGAAAAATATATCTTACAAGTATATTTTAAAGAGAGTATTACAGATCAGTTCAAAAGGAAAGGACTATTTACAAGTGATTTTGAGACAATTTATTAGTTACAGTATCTGGGATCAATCATGCATTTGGTTATTCATTACATGTCATACACTAACAGAAATTACAGATGCATAAAAATTTATATAAATAAACTTTTAATGATATTTAAAGAAAAAAGTTAATATCAGATTTCTGGAAAGGGGCAACTTTTAAATCTTTTTAAAAAAATGAAGAAAATCAAAAAAAGGAAGGCCAGTGCATGTAATTGAGCACTTAAGCACAACCAAATAAATGATCAAAAATAGATATTCTGTAGGCAAAGATTAAAGTTTAATAGTGGTTACCAGGGGCAGGAGGGACAGGGTAAGGGGAAATCATTGTTTAGGTAGCATGGAGTTTTTGTTTATGGAGATGGAAAATTTGACAGTGGATTTGGTAATGGTTGCACAACATGATTGATGTAATTGGTTCTCTTGAATTACACACATGAAAAATGTTGAATTTGCGAATGTGTTCTCTGTATTTTCACAACAGTTTAAAAAAAGAAAAGAAAAAAGTAGATATACCACACAAAACAACTGGGAACCCTTGATTTAGACATTTAGAGAGTATTATTTTGATGGGGACAATCACATGTACATGGGTACCATTGCATGCATTCTAAACTGCACACCAAGTTTTTTTATTTTATTTTATTTTTTTAATTGTACTTTAGATGAAGGTTTACAGAACAAACTAGCTTCTCAGTCAACAGTTAGTACACATATTGTTTTATGACATTGGTTAACAACCCCATGACATGTCAACACTCTCCCTTCTCGACCTTGGGTTCCCTATTACCAGCTTTCTTGTCCCCTCCTGCCTTCTAGTCTTTGTGCTGGGCTGTTGTGCCCCTTTAGTCATGTTTTGTTTTACGGGCCTGTCTAATCTTTGGCTGAAGGATGAAGCTCGAGAGTGACTTCATTACTGAGCTAAAACGGTGTCCAGGGGCTATACTCTTGGAGTTTCTCCAGCCTCTGTCAGGCCAGTAAGTCTGGTCTTTTTTTGTGCGTTAGAATTTTGTTCTACATTTTTCTCCAGCTCTGTCCGGGACCCTCTATTGTGATCGCTGTCAGAGCAGTCAGTGGTGATAGCCAGGTACCCTCTAGTTGTACTGGACTCAGTCTGGTGGAGGCCATGGTAGACGTGGCCCAGAACCCTTTGGACTAATCTTTCCCTTGTGTCTTTAGTTTTCTTCATTTTCCCTTGCTCCTGAAGATATGAGACTAGTGGAGTATCTTAGATGGCCGCTCACAGGCTTTTAAGACCCCAGATGCTACTTACCAAAGTAGAATGTACAACATTTTCTTTATAAACTATGTTATGCCAGTTGAGCTACATGTTCCCTGAGACCATGGTCCCCACCGCCCTCAGCCTAGCAGTTCGGTCCCTCAGGGAGTTTAGATGTGTCTATAGAGCTTTGATGACCTTGCCTTGTACAAGTTGTGCTTGCTTCCCCAGTATTGTGGACACCATATTTTGATCTTGAAGGCGAAAATATTTTTTACATGACAGAACCTAGAAAATTAATCCAACTATCATTGCTTCATCTGGACTGCAGTATTTTTTTCTTCTGGCAAAGTAGTGTTTTCAGCTCATGCCAATACTGGGGATTCCTATCATTCTTGATAATAACTTTAGTACTCAGGGAAAATAGTCCTTCTTTTTGTGAACCCTCAAATTCACTTGAATTATTCAAAGGTAATTTACCACTGTTTAGCTCACTTCCTACTGCTTTCCTTTTAAGAATTTATGAGACATATTCCAACACATATACATATCTTCTTACTGTTTTGATCTTTTTCAATACCTGTGGTTATAAATAAAAAGTGAAAGAAGTAAATAATATTAAAATGAAAACACATTGCTCAAATCCTTGACTTAGTCCTGGTAACCTTTTCCGGACTATTTAAAAAAAAAAAAATCTATAATATTCCGTTTTCCTGTATTGATTTCTCACTTTCTCAACATCTAATTATCCAGTTTCCAAATTTTTCAGGTCTTTGACTTTGTACTGCCTCCTGCCTGCTTACTGGCTATTTCACTGCTAATTAACACCTCATCACTGAGTAGGAAAGCCTGGTGGTGTAGTGGTTAAGAGCTACGGCTGCTAACCAAGAGGTGTGCAGTTCGAATCCACCAGGCACTCCTTGGAAACCCTATGGGGAAGTTCTACTCTATCCTATAGGGTCGCTATGAGTTGGAATCGACTCAATGCGCCTGGGGTTTTTTGGGTATCACTGAGTAAGCAGGGGAAGTAAAAGGTCCTGAAATTTAATCTGGTCATGTTCCTTGTTAGCATCTATAATGAAAAGTTTCATGGAACTGATAGAAATTGTGATATTAAATGGGAGTTTGGGGATTATCTATGACATTTTATTATCTGTGCTATTCCTGTTTTCCGTATTGAAGCTAGCTATAATGTCATTGGAAAATTTGATAAAATGGAAGCAAGTACTAGGTTAGTAGTAGGGAATTTAGTTTTGTATCCTAACTAAGCCACTTAACTAGCCATGCAACTAGTCTTTACTACTTGTTTTACCCATCTTTGATGTTACAGATTGGATTAAATGATCTTCCAGACCTTGTACTTCTGAGTGCTGTGGTTCTCTCTCTAGTATTTGTCTCTCTCTTTGGAGGTCATGAAACGAGTGCGCACAGAGCAGATTCAGATGGCAGTGTCCTGCTACCTCAAACGCCGGCAGTACGTGGATTCAGAAGGTCCCCTGAAACAAGGATTGAGACTGTCACAGACTGCTGAAGAGATGGCAGCTAATCTCACAGGTAATAGGGGGCTCTCCTCCTGCGATGTGAGAAGAACTCAAGTAATGTCTCTGTCTGCCAGATGACTTCTTTTTTCTTGAGATAGCACTGGAAAAGCAGACTATCCAAAAATCTGACCAAAGAACACCAAATGCACACAGCTGGCCTCAGAGAAGTGAGCTGTCCTCCAAAGCCATGCTCAAATGCCACTTCTAAAAACCTGCTTTTTATTCCCCCGGCTAAAAGTAATATTACCTTCCTCAGAACTCAGAATTATTTTATCTGTACCTGATGTTATGTGCAACTTTTCCCTTCTATACGCTATTATCCCATATGACCCTTGGGGACAGGGTCTCTCCACAGATCCCTCTCAGCTGTCATAGAGGCTCACATATGGAAATCAGTTGTTAGGTAAATGAGTATTTGGGGACCAATGGTTGGAAATACTGATATCTTACATATGTTTCTGAGGTTTTTAACATTTGTTTGTCTTTGTTTGCTTTGAAATTGGGTTTGATTTTAGAAAAACTTGTCTTGGATCCATCTGGAATAACAAATAATTGTTACTTAGCTACTTTGTGAGTTCAGGTTTTTATTTGATATGATTTCTTCTTATTGTATTCATGTGCTGGAGATTTTGAAAAAAATTCACAGCAGCGCTTTAGGGTGATTGTGAGTGACTTGAACGGCCATGCGTGGAGTTAGTTAGCAGAGTTTTCTGTAGCTCAGCCCTGGTTTCCCTCCTTAGCAGCTCAGACTACATCCTTCTCTCTTCTTTGTTCCTGGACTTCCTTCTTCTCTTAAAATAGATGTCACTACCTGCTTCATCTCTCAATAGTTTCAGCCTCCATATGGGTAGCAGCAATTATCTCAGCTGCCTCTTTTCTTACTACCTTTAAAATCAAGGACCTGGCCCTTTTGGCCTTAAGGTTCTATCTTAGTTTACTAGTGCTGCTGTAACAGAAATAACACAAATGGATGGTTTTAAAGAACAGAAATTTATTTTCCCACAGTTTAGGCTGAGAAGTCCAAACTCAGGGCGCCAGCTCTAGGGGAAGGCTCTTTCTCTGTCGGCTCCGAGGGAAGATCCTTGTCTAAGCTTCTGTAACCCTGACGTTTCTCAGTTCCTTGGCGATCTTCACATGGCATCTATCTTTCCCCCATTTGTGCTCGCTTCTCTCTGTGTCTAATCTGCTCTTTAAATATCTCAAAAAGTCCTCAAGTTTAAGACACACCCTACATTGAGATGGCCTTATTACTATAACAAAACCCTGTTCCCAGATGGTATTATTCCACAGGGATAGTGGTTAGGATTCCAACACATATTTTGAGAGAACACAATTCAATCCATGACACAAAGTTTATTGTAATTGCTGTAGGAAAAGAGTGTAAGGACAGTACAAACCTGAGAATGTCCCCAAAAGACTGTTTCCTTAGTCCCTCTTAGACAGCAGAAGCAGCCTACTTGGGCATCTGCCTTATTGTTCTTTAGGGTCAGATTCATCCATTTTTCCTTTCCTTCAAACTCTATTGTGTTACCTTTGACAAAAACAGAGCTAGCAGTAGATTAATAGATGCCTTGTTATCTCTAATAGGATATCCAATTTACAAGGCTTCTGTCTCACCCTAGAATAATTTCTTCTAAATTTGTTCATACAGCCTTTAAAGCATATTGATAGTCTCCTGCTGCCCTGCAGTCATTAGAACCTGGGGACAGTAATTCCATGCTGTTGTTAATACGAAATAGGAGTGAACAATCTTCTAAAACTTTGCTCTTCTTAATTGTCTTAGTTTGCACTGTTAGCTTGTTAGGCAAGTCATTGTTTTTTCTGGAAAGCCACCAGGAAAGTGAGGACAGGGCTTCAAACCAGTTCAACCTGGTTCAAACCCCTGCTGAGAATTTGCTTTTCCATTCCAGATATACTGAATCAGAATCTACAGTTTAACAAGATCCCCAGGTGATTCTTATGTATAATAAATTTTGAGAACCACTGCTCTACTAGTGGATTCGAACTGCCGGCGTTTTGGTTAGCAGCCATACGTCTTAACCACTACGCCACCAGGGTTTCCTATAGAAGAGTAGGATGTAATAAGTTCTGTGAAGGAGGTATGCCTCAGGTTCTGTAGGAACATAGACTATGGTCATCTAAATTAGATTATCAGGCAAGGAAGGTTTCTTTTGATTCCTGGCATATAGTAGGGGGCCAGTAAATAAAAGGAATGAACTAAGACTCAAAGGAGCCATTAGGAGCTTACCAGGGGGATGAGTTAAAGGAGGGTCTCCAAATTATCCAGTGTGAATTTTAGAAAGATCACTCTGGTGACAGTGTTGATTGGTGAGAGCCTAGATTAGAATCAGGGAAGCTAGTTAGAAGTAATAGTGGCAATCCAGGTGAGAAGTATGGAAAGCTTGAGTTAAGGACATGGTAATAGGAATTGAGATGAGAGGATAGGTTTTAGGCATCCATAGCCCTTAGTAAGGAGCCCTGATGGTGCAGTGGGTAAAGCGATGGACTGCTAATCTAAAAGGTCAGTGGTTCAAACCCACCAGCTGCTCCGCAGGAGAAAGATGATGTGGCCGCAGGGATGGATTACCCAACAAGCAAGGTATACATAGGCTTAATTAGGTTTACTTACTAATCTATCGTGAACAGTTTTACCTGGTTTTCACCACATCTGTGTTTACTTACTAATCTGTAGTGAACAATATCACATGGGTTTCACCACAAGCCCTAGTATAAACCAGGTGAGATTATTCACTACAGATTAGTAACTGAACAAAATTAAGCTCGTGCATACCTTGTTTCCTGTAAGCTGGTGCATACCGTGTTTACTGGTTAATCCGCCCCGTGTAGCAGTCTGCTTCCGTAAAGATCACAGCCTGGGAAACCCTATTGTACAGTTCTACTCTGTCCTTCAGGGTTGCTACGCATCGGAATCAACTCAACGACACTGGGTTATGGTTTTTATAGGTTTTAGTGGCCGGTTAAATGGGGGCCAACATGAAGAAAAGGGAAGAGTTCCACTCTTCTTTGTGCAGACTTCCAGCAAATCCCTCTGCTTCCAGTATCTGTCCTCTACCCTCCACCATGTATGGACTTCTCTAAGTTCTACTAGGATAAATTGACTCTCATCCATATCCCTTTTTGTATACACTCTATGTTGTGCCTTCCTCAGTCCTGCCACATTAATTATCATTCCTCCTTCCATATTCTGTCTTCTAAAAATGTGTTCCTGTTTTATCCAGATTGCTTAAAGATGTCTTCTCTCAGTGCCTAGCCACCTTCCTCTAGCCCCACCCCCACCCCTGAAAGGGTAAGGAATTCTTTTTTCTTTGAAAGCAGAAACTCACATAATGGAGGTTAAGTGTATGTTTACATACTGAATGTTGAGACTCCAGCCTTCTCCTGCTTCAGCTACCTGGAAAACTGGTAGTCAGGCATGTATCCATCAGAAAGGGGATTAAAAGATTCTTCCCTGGAGAGTCTGACCAGCCCAGGAAAAAAGATCTACAGATACTGATGTTGGGAAATTGCCCATCCAGGTCATCCTAGTCGATAAACAGCATCCACATGCACAGAGTTCTCCATCAGCTTTTGAGTGCCTCATCTTTAAATATGAGCAGATAGCTAGGGATTATCAGACACTGGAAGAAATGTACATAGTATAAATGATAGAGACAGAAAAAAAAAGGCACGGAGACATGTGCACAACTATGTTCATCGCAGCAGTGTTCACTGTAGCAAAAAGATGGAAACCTAACTGTCCATCAACTGATGAATGTAGATAAGTAAACGTGGTACATAATACAATGGAATACTATTCAGTGATAAATAAAAATGAGTTCCCAAAACATCTTGGAATATGGATGAACCTGGAGGAAATTACGTTGAGTGAAATAAGTTAATCACAAATATAAAAAATATGTTCTCATTTTATGAAATGACATATATATGTATATATATGTATTCATATATGTGATAAAGCACACAGAGGGCACAGTTACAGATACTTATTAGACATAACCAAACACCTTGCAGGATTGATTTTGGGTTTGAAGGGTTAGTACCATAGTCTTGTGGACACATCAGTCAGTTGGCATAATATAACCCATAAAGTAAGTTCTGCATCCTAGTTTGGTGAGTAGTGTCTGGGCTCTTAAAAACTTGTGAGCAGCCAAGATACAACTATTGATCTCTCCTCATCCGGAACAAAAGAGAAAGAGGGAAACAAAAGACTCAAAAAAGAATCTAGTCTACAGGACGGATAGTCTGCATGAACCACGGCCTCATCTACCATGAGACAGGAAGATCTAGATGGTGCCCAGATGAATCTGATAGAATGGGAGAAAAATGTGGAACAGAACCTCAGATTCCTAAAAAAAAACTATACCTACTGGACCGGTTCAGACTGGAGGCCTCGCCAAGACTATTGCCCTGAAATACTCTTCTGACCTTGAACTGAAACTAGCCCCTGAGGTCATCTTGTAGCTAAATAACAAATTGGCTCAAAAAATAATGAATATCACCAGTAAGTACTATGCTCCTTTAAAAATCAACTATATGAAACCAAATGGCCAACAATTACTTGAAACAAAGATGAGAATGTAAGGAGACAGGGAAACTAGATTAATGAAAATAGAACAATCAAAACAGAAGTAATGAGAATGTTCAGGCATTGTAAAGAATGTAACCAATGTCACTGAACAACTTGTGTAGAAATTGTTAATTGGGAACCTAAACTTCTGTGTAAACCTTCACCAAAAACACAGTAAAATATTATTTTTAAAAAAAACAGGCAACTTGGGGAAAACAAACAGCAGGGAGAAGAAAAATTCAAAAATGCTATCATTAATATCCTTAAAACAAGAATAGAATACTATTTTTTTTTACAAAGGAAGAGCATCCAGAGAATAACAGTACAATTTTGCAAATTAAATACATGAGAGTAAAAAGGAAAAATGAGTAGAAGAGTTGAAAGTTGAGGAAGCCTCCCTGAAAGAGCAAAAAAGCCAAAAAAATGGAACCTAGGAGGGGAAATTAAAGGGTCAGTCCAGGAGATCCACCCTTGAAATATTAAGAGTCCCAGAAGGAAATAGGATGATTCAAGAAAAGCCTCAGGACGGAAAGCTATGAATTTCCAGATTCAAGGGCCTACTGAGTGTCTAGCCCGGTGGGTTAAGATAGGCCCACACTCAGGCACATTTTGTGAGATTTTGGAACACTGGGGGTCAGAGGTTTCGAGATAGGTCTCTCATGAACGTTTATACCTACCTGCTCTCATTTAGTTTACTTACGCTCGTGGTTTCTACCTTTTCATTCTTCTTCAGTCATGTGATTGGGTATTAGGAGGGAGAAGATGTAAATATGTGTCCTCAGTCATAATTAACCAGAAGCCCCAGCATGCTTTGAAAATGCTAGTTGCTTTTGAGGCGTACTCAACACCCTCCTCCACCCCATCCCATCCTGCCACATTTTGGGTTAATAACTGTTTCTCCCCCTCCCCACTTTTGTGTATCTTTCCCCGCCCAGTCCAATCAGAATCTGGTTGTGCCAACATAGTGTCTGCAGCACCTTGCCAGGCAGAGCCCCAGCAATATGAAGTACAGTTTGGACGACTACGGAATTTTCTCACTGGTAAGTATTCGGCACTAGCAGCCTTTTCCTATTAAGAAAGATTAATGCAAATTTCCCTCAGAACCTACAGTGTGCCAGGCATGGTGCTAGGTCCTGGGGACTCAAAGGCAGTTTAACACAGCCCTTGCATTAAGAACATACGGTCTGTTTTAATTCCTGAGAGAGTTAAATCACAAGGTTAAAATTTACAAGGGTAAGGGATCAGGGTGTTTCATTCACTGAGGTATACATTAATACATGGCCTCCAACACAGAGACCGGCATGTAGATGCTTAGTAAACTTGTACTCAGTAAGTGAAAGCTGAATCAGCCAGATAGGAAAACATCTTTAAATGCAGCGCTTTTGAAATCTACCTTGGTGTCTCTACTGATAATATAGTACCTCTTAAAATAGTCTTTTCTCTTTATCTCAGAATTGCAAGATAACAGTCCTTATGAATCAGCAAGATAAAACTTCTGGATAAAAATACTAGAAATTGTGGTTTAGACCAGTGTGTGGGTGGTGGAATGACCTCTGACACACAAAATCAGCATATGTGAGTTCTCATCAGTTCTAACTCGCTGTGTAACTTTTAAAATGAGCCACTTAAAGATGAGTCACTTAACCTCTCTGGGTCCTTAGTTTCCTCACATGTGAAATGGAAAAGGCTAAACCAAATGATCTCTTCCAGTCTTGAGATGATTGGTTATAATTTTAATGTTGGAAAAATTACTGCACTACGAGAAACCATGTTGATTCTGATTATTAATGAAAATTTTTTGTTGAGTCCTTTCTGTATACAAAACACCTTGAGGTATAGGAAATAGAAAACTTTCTCTGCCTCAAAGGGTTGAGAATAATTAGCAGGTATTGGCTAGTGGTAAATATAGTTACAATACTTTGAAGTTGTTTTATTTCTCTTTATTTGAACAATCCTTGTATTAATGATTTTTAATGGTAAAGATACATGTAAGATGATCAACATATAAGCCAAAATAATATACTGAGCCTTAGTCACATACACAATTAAGAGTTGTCCTAATTTTCCTTATGACTAACCCCCTTATTCGTTTTATTTTAAAGGAAAGAATCTATATTTACTACAGTCTAAAAAGTTGGGGGAAATGGCCAAAAATGTTATAGAAAATAAACATTACAAAATAAAACTCAAGAAGAGGTTATCGATTTGACAGTTGTTGAATGATGGAATTCATAAGTAGAGAATAGTCTGTTAAATAGTTAGAAAAATGAAAAATCATGAAGATAAAGATTTAGCCAAAAAGAGTCTATTATGTTTAAACTGGAAAGAAAGTAACTCCATTAAGAGTCTCATATCGTATGAATGTTAAGTATCTCAGAACAGTGATCAGCTGCTTTCCTTTTCCAACAAGGATAGAGAAAGAAAACATGAATTTATAATAAGGATTTCATCCAGAGGTAAGCGAAAACTTAGAGAGAGTGAGAGTTATTTTTAATCACTAGGATTGGTTTTAATTTTCTAAGTCAGTTTTTAAAAAGTTATTTTACTCAGTTTAAATATGATTACATTTATCCATCCTTAATAGATTTATCTCACCATTCTAATGGTAAGGAACCTGGTTTAGAAAGAAGTGCCTAGTCTCTTTCAGTGCCTTTCTCTTTTTCATTCATTCAGCCTGTATATGTTAAGTAAGCCCTTACTGTGTGTCAGGCTCAGTATTGCAGTAGGGTGTATTGATAGATTCCCTACCCTCATAGAGCATAGTGTCTGATAACGGAAACAGATAAAAAAGTCAGCCACCAAATACATAATTATAATAGTGATGTACTTGGTGTACTTATGCCAGTGAAGTGACTCCTGTCATGAGCACAACTTATTTCCATCATGAACAATGCTAAGATGACCCTGATGACATTACGTATTTTTATGCAAATAACGCATGCCTTTTGCATTTGTTTGCCAGCTGTACCCTCCTCCTACGAGGCATCTTCACAAGGACAACATGCCAATACTCTTCCACATGTTGCTGTAACAAAAAAATTAGCATAGCACACTTAATGAAAGTACCTCGAGGAGGCAGAGCGTGGCCAGCAAACAGATGCAGAAGAGGCACATTATTTGCTTAAAAATATGGTGTATAAGTTTTTGCTTATGCATTTTTAATCACAGAGGTGTAGCTAGAATAAAATAGACTCATTGAAATAATTCTGTTGTTATTAAACCAGTATATATTTTTTGTAATACAGAATTAATATATTTAGTTGACCACTAATGTGATTTAAGGAGTCCCTGGGTGGTGCAAATGGTTAAGCACTGGACTACTTACCAAAAGGTTGGAGGTTCATGCCTACCCAGAGGCACCTGAGAAGTAAGACCTGGTGATCTGCTTCCAAAAGGTGACAGCCTTTAAAACTCTAGGGACTGCAGTTCTACTCTGCACACATAGGGTCACCAGGTGTCAGAATCAACTCAAAGGCATCTAACAACAACAATGTGATTTATCCTAGTGCAGATTTTTTCTGTTCAAATCCCTTTCCCATCTATCCCTTGGGGGCCTTGATTTTTTTCTTAAGTACTTGACAGGGCCCTTAATTTAGAATCACAGCCTTGAAAACCCTATGGAGTACAGTTCCGTTCTGCACACTTGGGATTGCCATGAGTTGGAATCAACTCAGAGGCAACTGGTTTTGGGGGGTGGGAGTGTTTAAACGTAGAATAGCTATTGGCCTTTTTATTTGATGGTGCAGTTTTTTTTTTCCTAATATGTATTATCTTGTTTATTCTCATTTCATATTTTCCTTTGCCCAGAACTTTACATCTTCATATACTGTAGTCTATTAATGTTTTCCTGTGTGATTTCTTATCTTGTTTCAAAACTGACACAGTTGTCTGTTATTTTGTGTATAATTTGATTGTTTATTCCATGTGTCACGAATTATTTGGAGGGAGGTTAGTATATATCTTCCCACTTACTGGCTGTTTCCTTGGGACATTTTCTCCACCCCTGGGTCTCTCAGGAGCAGGCGGCCAAATCAATGAGCAAGTATTGCCTAAGCACCAACATAATCTAATTTGGAAGCTAATACTAACACAAAAAGGTTAAAAGTTAGTTTCTATTTAAAATTTAAAATACAGTACAAGTGCCTTCACAGAGCAGTATGAGATCAGTTGGGAAATTATGTATATGTAGGAATTGCATGTGGAACTAAAAGACGAAAGTGATTTGGGACTTTTGTGAGTCTCACGTTCTTCCACATATAGAATGGCGATCAAAATTTTGTTTTGTTCCTAGCATGCTGTTCCCTTCAGTCAAGAGAGAACAGATAAAGCAATTTTGAAACTATGAGCTGAAGGAACACTGACTTTCAGTAATTTTTAAAATAGTGTTTCCCTATGCCTTGGTGGCCAGATTTTTTTCTAAACTTAAAAAGTGCCTCTCATTTTGGAAAATAAACCTGAAACTGAGATTTTAAGGAATTGAAAACAATCTCTTGTCCCAGTAGAGTAGATTGGAAGTCTAATAGGTAAAGGTGAGTCTTTTTGTTTTCGATAATTGGTATTTTGGAAAAGAAATTTTCCAGAAGCCTTTTAAAGAATTAACAGCTTTCTTGTAATTTAAGTTCATCTTTTAGATATGAGCAAGAATAAAGAGTAGGATGAATATTTGAGTAGGGATAAGTTCATTCTAAAATGCAGTATTGTGCATGTTAATTTTCTTTTTGTTAAAGTGAAATAGGGTACTAAGCAAAGATAGTATGCTAGTATCACTGACCGTCAAATTAGAGAGGCAAGATTATATAATGCAGTGTTCTGAATCCTGAGCCCTCTGTGGTTCCTTTTAAAGGAACAAAAAATGCTAGCAGAACGTAAGTGCTAACTTAAAGCATTTTGTATTTATTTACATAAATTTAAAAACAGATATAAAATCTTTATTCTTATATTTCTATATGAAACCGAAATTTGTTTACAAATGAAGCACAAGCGAAATCATGAAAGCAATAAAATTCAGATTAACAGCAATTTAGTGTAATGGATGGCTTTTGCCACAACTAAATTGCTGCTCAGAATGGGAGTGTAGGTGGCACTGACGGCTGGCATGCAAGTTACTTTGAGTTCAGCTTGTCTATAGTGTTTGTAGCCAGGAGTCGGAATCCACTAACAACAGCAACATAGTGTTTGAGCCCTGTGGTGATTCTGTCCTGTCATCACTTTTCTGTATTCAAATGACTGCAAAACCTTTGTTCCAGTAGCATGCCATCATGTTAGTTAGCCTTCACTTGCCATGAACACTTATTTAGGAGTTAAATGCACCTCTGTTCTTTCTCATTAGCCCATGGCAATTAAAGCTGTACATTTTTTTGAACATTCTTTGTCACATACTTTCATGGAATCAAAGTCTCAAATTAGTAAACAGTCTTAATGACAGGAAAATCTCATTTGTAAATTATCACTGCAAAAGAGGAATTTTACTTCTAACCAACAAATCAAAATGAGTACAGTGACAGATATGGGACAATTATGGATAAATGTCATCTTAACGTTAGAACATGCTGACCTGGGTTGACTGGTTGACCCGCTGACCCATTGCTGTCGAAGGGAGGCAGACTGCCACATCTTCTCCTGCATAGTGGCTAGTGGGTTTGAACTCCTGACCTTTCAGTTAGCTAAGTGCTTAACTACTGCACCACCAGCGCTCCTTCTGGGTAGCCAGACATGTTAATGAACCCAGTAAAATAAGTGCTTTGATTTTACTTTCGATGTTAAACCGAGAAAACCAAACCTGTTGCCATCGAGTCGATTCCGACTCATAGCAACCCTATAGGACAGAGTAGGACTGCCCCATAGGGTTTCCAAGGAGTGCCTTGTGGATTTGAACTGCAGACCATTTGGTTAGCAGCCGTAGCTCTTAAGCACTAAACCACCAGCGTTTCCACTTTAGATGATAGGTGTTAACAATAATCATAAAACAAATTAGAGCACTCAAATTGCAAGTCAGTACTTACTTGCCAAGTGGTCATACAGATAACGCTGAATAGACTTGTAATCATCATTTTTTAGATTATTATCAAGTTAAAATTTTCTTGCGAAGAACTCACAGACTCCCAAGAACATATCTAAGGACTCTCAGCCATCTAAGGTCCCCAATTTGACAAATACAACAGTACTGGAAAAAATAGTAAACCCTGAAGACCTAGGTACCTGGCCCTGCTACTGAACTGTTGTAAGAACTTAGGCAAGTCATTTAACCTCTTTGCGCAGCAAGTTCCTGATCTGTGGCAGAATTCAACCCCAGGTTTGCTTGACGTCAGAGTCCATGCTCTTCCTTCTTCTGTGAAAAGACTTGGAATTTGAAATTCCAGAAATCCGTATTGGACTCATATATTAATCAATAGTCTCAAAAAATACAATCCTGACAGTGTTATGTGATGGTGGGTTCCGCAGGAGGGGTTGCATTATTCTATGAGATTATACTGTTTATAAAACTGTCAGGTTTTGTTTTTTTTTTTCATTATAGATTCTGATTCCCAGCACAGCCATGAAGTGTTGCCTCTCCTCTATCCTCTCTTTGTCTACCTCCATCTCAACCTGGTCCAGAACAGTCCGAAGAGCACAGTGGAAAGTTTTTACAGCCGCTTCCATGGAATGTTTTTACAGAACGCTAGCCAGAAGGATGTCATTGAGCAGCTACAGACCACTCAAACCATCCAGGACATCCTGTCTAACTTCAAACTTCGAGCATTCCTAGATAACAAGTATGTGGTCCGTCTCCAAGAAGACAGCTACAACTACCTTATCCGCTACCTCCAAAGTGACAACAATACTGCCCTGTGCAAAGTCCTCTCCTTACACATTCATCTTGATGTGCAGCCTGCCAAGAGAACAGACTACCAACTCTATGCCAGTGGCAGCTCCTCACGTAGTGAGAGCAGCGGCTTAGAGCCCAGTGACATGCCCACCCCTATTCTGCAGAATGAGGCTGCCCTGGAGGTCTTGCAGGAGAGCATTAAGCGAGTCAAGGATGGGCCTCCTTCACTTACCACCATCTGTTTCTATGCCTTCTATAACACAGAGCAGCTGCTGAACACTGCAGAAATTTCCCCAGATAGCAAGCTGCTTGCTGCTGGGTTTGACAACTCCTGTGTAAAACTTTGGAGTTTACGATCCAAGAAGTTAAAGTCAGAACCCCACCAAGTAGACGTGTCCCGCATCCACTTGGCTTGTGATATTCTCGAGGAAGAGGTATGAGTATCATTTTTCCTTCTCTATACCTGCCTTACTCATTTGCTTAGAACAGAGAAGGGACTTCATTATTTCCCTCGTTGTATCGCTAAAACCAACTAATGCCGTGTAACCCATATCCATTGAATTCCTGCTAATGCCTAACCGTGGAAGAGATCAAAACTATTTTTAAAAACATTAACTTAATATTATGAATGGATGGTTAGAGCTGATAAGTATCTGAAATGTGGATAACATCACTAAGCCTAATTAAAGACCTTTAGCAAATATTGACTTTAATTGAGATTTAAATTAACTATCCTTGTATATATATATCTGCACATTTGTGCAAGTATAAATATTAGAAGTAGGATTACTGGGTCAAAGGGTCTTTGTGTTTTAAATTGTGATTAATATTGTCCCTTTCCCCACAGAAAGTGGTTGTGCCATTTTACAATCTCAGCAACAGCATGTGAGGTCTCCCTACCCCTCATCAACATTGAGTGTTACCATCTTTCTGAGGTACATCCTCTGCCTTCATGTACCCCAGGGTGTTCCCAGACCCCATTTTGAAAGGCACCCAGGAAGTATGGTTGAAATGTAATGTGTCATCAGGTCTTGTTTTGTCTGTTTGGGGATGGTTATTGAAAAAGGCAGGCCCCCGTGACCTGAGTTTCATGTCACAGAGAGTCAGTGCCTTAGAAAACATGTGGGCAAAGGGAGAGAGAGATCAGACTTCACAGAGTTAACTTTCCTGAGAGTGGTCCCACAAAAGTGTGTGGACCACGATACATATATTTGCCAGTGAAGTTCAAGTATGTGCTTCAAGTGATTTTGGATGGAAAATTCTTTGCAAAGTGTTGAAAAATTCAGGAGTAAAGAATCACTGTAGTTCATTATAGTTGCTGATGAGGATATCAAGAACATTGGATGTACTAAATTCAGCCCTTCATTTCCTGTTCCTGTTTTCTGAGGGACCTTTCAGTTAGTATGGCTTTGAGATTTTGATTCTTGCAGCTGAGACAGCATCATTAGAGGAGTTTGTTACAAGGAGTAGAGAGAGATTCTAGAGTCCCATGTACAAACTTTGATTTCTAGAATTTTATAGTATCTTCCAAAATAATTTTCATTGCACCATTGTTTGAATTATCACACTTCTCTTTTCCTTGGAGCTAGTTCTGACTGTTTGGGGGTGCTTCACACACAGTGAGGGATACTGCCCTAACTTACTTGCAATTTTCTATAAATACAAAAAAGAAGAGATTATTCCCTCTGATCTTATTAGCTTTCGTATACAGAGTTTGAGGATTATTCTAGGCATTAACATAAAGAAAGATGGCAATATGGTATCTTAGAAAGAACATTAAAAATAAAAATGTTTACGATTTTAGCCTGGCCACCTCTAAAAACTAGCTCTCTCCTCCGAAGGCTTCCAGGCATTGGCAGCAGTGTATTTAAAGATCTACAAGTAAAGAATAGCATGAGGAATTCCAAGAACTGAAAGAAATTAAATATCAGCCAGACTTGGGAGGGAGTAAGACTGGAAGCAAGTACGTGGGGGCTATCTATGTGAGAAATTTTGGTAACCTGAAGTAGGATGGTGGCAGCTGAAAAGGAAAAAGGTGGTTTGGAAGGTAAAATGGAAAGAACTCAGTTATTGGATTAATGTGGAGGATGAAGGAAGAGTTAAGGATAACATCTGTGTCTCAGAATTGAACAGCTTGGTGGCTGGTGGGAGATGAGATGGGATCATTCACTGAGGTAGGGAACAAAGGTAGTCATAAGAACAGGTTTGGGTTGGTCTGGTTTGGTTTGAAGTATCTTTCTAGCTTGTTCATCTTTATCCATATTGAAAATACTGTAGATTTCTAGTTTCTGCTTTTTCTAGAACAAACTTTTCTTTTACTTCAGGACTAAAGATCCTTTTTTTCTGTTGTTGGGGGGCTTCCTATTTAGGATTTCTATTCCCTCCACCCACTCATTTTGTCATAGCAGTTCGGGGAAATTTTCTTTTTAGTTTCTGCCGAAAGAGCATTTTGGGGGAGAAGCAAGGTCTAAATTAGTTCTGGTAGTTGGTTTTTAATGTTTTTATGATGAGAATTTGGACTTTCTTTATTCCTTGTAGAATTCACAATTAAAATTGAGACTCTTAATACAAGGGTGACAAACTCATGTACCTGTAGAAGTCAAGCCGGTAAAAGTAAATGGTAAAACCATCTGGGTTAAAGAGATGATAAACCAAACCTGTTGCCATCAAGTGGATTGCATAGCAACCTGTAGGACAGAGTAGAACTGCCCTATAGGGTTTCCAAGGAGCAGCTGGCAGATTCAAACCGCTGACCTTTTGGTTAGCAGTGGAACAATTAACCACTGCACCAACCAGGGCTCCTTACACCACTCAGGGACTCCAAATCAGTTGCTGTTAAGTTGATTCCGACTCATGGAGCTCCCACGAGTTGAACTTGCTGACCTGTTGGTTAGCAGTCGAGCTCTTAACCACCACACCACTAGGGCTCCTAAAGAGATGATAGGAAGTATTGAAACACTTGGCAAACCAAATTAAAAAATCAGTTTACAATCTATACCTTAATCTTTTTGAAGAAATAACTTTAGCATGAGAATTGAAAATATTTCCACACAAAAGTTATACATGAATGTTCGTAACACATTATTCATAGGAGCCAAAAAGTGGAAATATCCTGAATGTCCATCAACTGATGAATGGATAAATAAAATATGGTATGTTCATATCATGGAGTATTATTTCACCATAAAAACGAATGAAGTACTGATACAAGCTACAACCTGGATGAACTTTGAAAACATTATGCTAAGTGAAGAAAACAGGCTACATATTGTTTGATTCCATTTACACAAAATGTCCAGAACAGGCAAATCTATAGAGAAAAGTAGATTAGTGGTTGCCTGGGGCTGAGGCCAGGGGGGAGTGGGAGTGACTGTTAATGGGTGTGGCAATTCTTTTTGAGGTGATGAAGAAGATCTGGAGTTAGATAGTGGTAATGGTTGCACAGCTCAGTGAATATATTAAAAACCACTCAACTGTACACTTTAAAAGGGTGTATTTTATGGTATATGAATTATATCTCAGTGTTTTTAAGTGTAAAAAAACAGTAATCAGAAGCTCCTATATAGCATAAGATTTTTTCTGTAAATTATGCCAAACGAAACTAGATTTGTGACACTGCAGCATAGCTTCTGTTATCTGCTGACTGAAGATAACTCTAGATTAACCTTCGGAAGTTCATTAAATTGGCACAACAGTCCCCTTTTCTCACCCTTGGTACTAGTCGTCGTTCTTGTTAGTTGCCGCCAAGTCATAGCCCCTCCTATTTCAGGCAGTCAAAGTGAGCCTTCACTTTCTACCCCTTGTTCCACATTGAAATAGGAATATAAATGAGATCAAACTTTACCCTTCTTGATTGTTAACTATGTGTTTTTAATATTTTAGCAATATGACAAACTGCAGATACCAAATCAAGGATTTGCTTTTCTTTTCAGTTATGTGTACATTACCACCATCATCACTACCAACTTCCCATCCCCTCACTCCAGGCGGTTTGCGATGCTGTTGTCATGGAGTCGATTCCAACTCATGAAGTCCCCACGTGTGTCAGAATAGAACTGTGCTCCATAGGGTTTTCTATGGCTGATTTTTTGGAAGCAGATCACCAAGCCTTTCTTCTGATGTGCCTCTGGGTGGATTTGAACCTCCAACCTTTCAGTTAGCAGCCGAGCATGTTAAACGTTTACACCACCCCAAAAACAAAAAACAAACCCATTGCCATCGAGTCGATTCCGACTCATAGCGACCCTATAGGACAGAGTAGAACTGCCCCATGGAGTTTCCAAGGAGCAGCTGGTGGATTCGATCTGCCCACCTTTTGGTTAGCAGCCGAGCTCTTAACCACTGCACCACTAGGGCTCCTTACACTACCCAGGAACTCCAAATCAGTTGCTCTCGAGTCGATTCTGACTCATGGAGCCCCCATGTGTCACGTATATTGTTTATTTAATGTCTGCTGAATTTTCCCCCAAAATCTGATAATCTTAAAGTTTGAAAACTCATCAATGTTGTCATCAGTATTCAGTTTTATAATTTGTATATAAAACTGTCGTTTAAATCAGTGCTGTGCAATGGGAATATAATGCAAGCCACATATGTAATTTAAAATTTTCTAGTAGCCACATTAAAAAGTAAAAAAGAACAGGCGAAATTAATTTTAATAATCTATTTTATTCAACCCAATATGGCTAGTATTATCATTTCAACATGTAAGAATATTTAAAAATTATTAATTAAGTCTGTTAATTTAGAAAAGGAGCCTAGGTGGCACAAGCAGTTTGCAGTCAGCTGCTAACCTAAAGGTTGGTAGTTCAGATTCACCCAGTGCTGCTGTGAAAGGCCTGGCAGTCTGCTTCCATAAAGATTACAGCCAAGAAATCCCTATGGAGCAGTTCTGCTCTGTAACACATGAGGTCACCGTGAGGCGGGGGCCAACTCTACGGCAGTTAACAACAACACAGCCCATCGCAGAAATCTTGTGTACAGTTGACTCTTCCAGCACAGGTCGGCCTGCACTTGCCAATGGCCACCTGCTTTACTGTCACTGTTCTAGTTCAGGCTGCTGTCATCTCCCACATAGAGTCACCCGCTTGCTTCCAAGCCTTAACCCATTCCCCAGTCTGGCCGTATTTAATTTCTTCATTTCTACTTCACAGCTAGTTAAGGAACCAAAAAAAAAACCAAACTGATTGCCATCTAGTGGATTCTGACTCATAGCAACCCTATTTCAAACCCCAAAAAGTAGCTGTGCTCTAGGGAAAACTAGAGCATGAGATGTGATACTTGGAACATCCTACTTTAGGAGCAGGTATCCTCCATAACCAGTCTAGATTTTTAGGGACCCCGTGATCTAGAGTAGGGGTCAGTGGACTACGACCCATGGGTCAAAGCCAGAGGTGTGTAAGACAGTACTTAAAGATATTTTAGAATATCTGTTTTTATTTTCCTGTCTTTTAAATTTTTTATGTATTTTTTATAATTTCATAAGATATAATTTATTATTACATGTGTATACTTTAAAATTACAGATTCTTACTTGGGATGGATGCTCATTTACCATGGGATGCTCAGTCACAAATGCAGCAAGTTCTGGGCTGTTAAATGCTGTTAGCCAAGAGCAGGGAGAGTGTCTGTGTGAAGAAGCTGCTCATTCAGGGTGTCACCTCTCCTGCACTGAGGCCCTTGTGGGACTGGAGTAAGCGGCCCACAAAAACATGGCTTGGTTATTTCAAGCTGTGGTCTTGGCAAAAGGCTGATAGTGATAGCCAGCAGGAAGGTCCTGGTTTCTCCATTTCTCAGTCAACAGAGTCAGCCAGGCACTTTGCCACAGGATTAGGACAGTCCTCCAGATCCTTGGGAGACTCATCTGAACTCCTAGTGCATCCTCTTCTAGCCAACCCTTCGCAGTATCTCTGAGCACCAAAGTTTAGATCCATTTCCTAACTCTGTAACTTCCTGTTCCAGATGAAGAGGACGTTTGCCTGAGAGATAATAAAATGACCTTTACTTCACAGTTAACTCTCGAAGGATTTTTACCTAATTCATCCTGGGTCCTTGTTTGCTCCCACAGTTCTTACATAAACTTTCTGGTGTAGAGCAATGAGTTATTCTGGAAATCTTAAAGTATTGTCATAACCTCTTTGGGAAGGAAAATGACTAATGTTCTTGTTAGCGCTCGGTAGAACCGTAAGCTCCCAAATGCATATGGATTTTTAATGTTGAGTGTCTGGGATAGTCTTTTGAATACTATTGGACATTGATGTTTATTTTCTCTTAACTGTTTCTCAAATATGTACCCATTACAGGCATTCATTTAATTTTTAATGTAGTGGTTTTCAAATAGACGTTAAAAGGGTACCGTCTTCCTATACAAGAACCTAAGGCTCACGATGATGTTTATTTCTAAACCAACAAAGCCAGTTGGTTCAATAATCTTCATTTTGCTTTTCTTCTAGTGTTTAATTAAAATCCATTTTAATTTATGAATTCCAGGCTGAAGACAGCTTAGTTTTGAGAAGCTTGTCTCTGAGGGGAAAAAGGGAAGCAGATTTTGAAAACAGTGTACTTGTGGGGGAAAAAAGAGGGGAAGGGACCTTTCTCTTGAAGTACTGTTAGTGGCTCTCTTCTTTCTGTCCCCCTACAAAGGAAATAATTTCCAAGAATCACATGAGTTGTTTGGTTTGTTTAAAGCAATTCTCAATCCATGCTTTGTTTTGTTACTTTGGGGAAATGTTGAGACCCTCCAGAAAGTCGTTGTCTTAAAAACTTCATCTATATTTCTTTTTGGACACTAGCAAGTTTATGGCCTTTAACAGGGGTGTGTGTTTAATTTATTGAAAACAACCTTTCTAGCTTACTATTAATTCTAAAGTGTCTGGGTTGTATTTTGGCTAAACTCGTGTAACAGTCCTGCGTTAATGTCTAAGTGACACCACTTCTGCCTCATGTGTTGCTGCCTTCGTCGTTAACCCCAGTCATGGGAGTAATGAACTTGTCAGGATTATTTTAAATGCAGTGGAAATGGGAGCTATATGGCTTATAAAGTAGCTAGAAATTTCAAATGAAGACATGCCCATAGAATAAAAAGAATCTAAGAAGGTAACATAAATTTAAAAGTAAATCTTTCCAAATGACATATATCAGAATTTACAAAGAAAGTTCCCAGAGGCTACCTTTTAATCAGCTTTTGAAATATGTATTATCCTCAGCCTAAGAGTAGGGTCCACAGTCATTACTCTCTACTAACAGCCTTGCATCTCTGTATCTTTTGATCTGATGAATTTAGAGAAAGCAATTTATAAGTTCCAAAAGACTTTGCATTCCTTTCAATTATGAGTCATTTTCCTGGGTCACGTTTCGCATTAAGGGCAAGGCCCCTGTCGTTTACTAGGTAGATGCTAGTTTCCCAAGAAACCCCTTTTCCCTCCTCTCCCCTCGTTTTCCTTGTCAGACCACTAAACTTTTTTTTCTTGTATATTTCTTCCCATCCTCACCCTCACCCTGATGTTCTTCTAGGATGATGAGGATGATAGCGCAGGCACAGAAATGAAGATACTGCGAGGACATTGTGGGCCTGTGTACAGAACAAGGTTCCTGTCAGACAGCTCAGGGTTGCTCTCTTGTTCTGAAGACATGTCCATTAGATACTGGGACCTCGGAAGTTTCACCAACACTGTGTTGTACCAAGGACATGCCTACCCTGTGTGGGACCTGGACATTAGCCCCCATAGTCTGTACTTCGCCAGTGGCTCCTACGACCGCACTGCCAGGCTGTGGTCGTTTGACCGGACTTACCCACTGAGAATATATGCAGGGCACCTGGCAGATGTGGACTGTGTCAGATTCCACCCTAATTCTAACTACTTAGCCACCGGCTCCACCGATAAGACCGTCCGGCTGTGGAGTGCTCAGCAGGGGCACTCTGTGAGGCTCTTCACGGGCCACCGAGGACCTGTGCTTTCTCTTGCATTTTCTCCCAATGGTAAGTACTTGGCATCCGCTGGCGAGGACCAGAGGTTGAAGCTGTGGGACTTGGCATCTGGAACCCTTTATAAAGAGTTGAGAGGCCACACGGACAACATCACTAGCCTTACGTTCAGCCCGGACAGCAGCCTGATTGCCTCGGGCTCCATGGACAACTCTGTGCGTGTTTGGGACATCAGGAACACTTACTGCAGTGCTCCTCCTGATGGCTCCTCCAGTGAACTCGTGGGCGTATACACTGGGCAGATGAGTAATGTGCTGAGTGTACAGTTTATGGCCTGTAACCTTCTTTTAGTGACGGGGATTACACAAGAAAATCAGGAACATTAATTTTTAATTTTTGTGTTAATGGATTGGGGCAGTGGTGAAAGGCCTCAGGATTGCAAGTCTTACTACAAACTGAGATTAAATCACTGACTGACTGTGAAAACACTTCCCTACTCTTCCTTTTCTCCCATTGGTGGACATCCTTAGTATCCACACCTTCATCCCGGCACCCCCCCCCCCCAAATGTCGAAGGACTGAGGTGGCGGGGAGAAAGGCGATTAATAAGTGCACATGACAGCAAGAACTAAGATGCTTCTGAGGTCAGATGGCAAGTTGTTACGAAGACCCCACCATGCCCTGGTGCAGGTATCTTAGTGTCTCTCCTCATCTTTCCTGTCTGCAAAACTCAGATAATACTTAACCTCACCAGGGTGCTGTTTGATTAGAGGGTGATTGCAAAGCTCTTTCAAGATATGTAGTGCTACAAGTGTTAAGTATTATCAATCACTTTCATTGAGGGGAAATCCTTATCAGTTAGTAATGCAGGGGAGGAAAGGGGAGGGGGATAATCCTGGCAAAAAGTCTTTCCTTTTCCATAATTACAAAAAAACAGGATTTTTTTTAATTATTGCTATTATAATAATTATAATAATTATTATTATTATTATTGAGAAGAGGAAATCTAGCACTGGCAGAGGGTACTTTCTCTGCTTTTATCTTTCAGGTTTGACTCCTGGCACTGGCTGTGATACTTGGAATTTTGAGGTTCAGGGAAATTAGAGAATTTGGTAGCACAGTGTATTGGGAGAAAGGGAAAATTTATGGGTGACAGATTGATCACTCTGGCTGACTTGTTTCTAGAAGTGGGTGGGTGGACTTGATGGAGAAAGTTGTGGGATCTTGCAGTGATAGTGGGAAAGGCAGATTCTTTTCATGGCTGCACTTCTGTTAGTAATTATCTCCCCTGAAAAGAATGATTGTGGTAAAGAAATGAAAATAATTTGAAATTATAAGTCACAAGGTAGAATTAGAAAATACTGAATTTCAAATGACTGTTTGTTTATTCAGAAGTGTGGCTTTTCCACACCTCTTCGCCCCTGAGAGCACCCTGCTCCCACCTTCTGCACTGCAGTAACCAGTAATGAACACTTTGTGAAGCAAATCGTGAGAACACGCACGCATATGAAGCTGCTCTGAGGATAGAGCAAGCCTAATTTGTAGAAGAAGGATTAAATATTTCTGTTTTCTGAAAAGAGTTATTTTGTATTTTGTTTTCTATTAAAATGTATTTAGTTTCAAAAAAAAAAACAAAAAACAAAAAAGTGTTGGCATCTTTTGTAAATTCCGAGGAAAGGAGGGTATTTGATTTGTCCTGGAGTAACATGCATCTCATCTCTCTTCAGAACAGCCAGTTGGTGTAGGTTAGACCAGTCCAAACAAAGGTATTCAGCTTACTTTGAATTGTGATTCCCCTTGGCATTCACGTAGATTTTTGGTAGATTTAATACTGTTTATACATCAAAAATTGTCAATTGCTGACTGAAGACATTATGCATCTTACTATCTAGAGTTATTTTGTAAGGCTCTACTTCCAGCTGCCATTAGAGATCCATTATAAAACCTCTGAGGGTTATAAGACCTGTTAATAACACAAGCTATTTACTGGAAAATTCAAGATAAAGTATTTGTTCAAAGATTAAATGATACCAGACTGAAAATATTGACTTTAATCTGTTCTGGGTAGATCAAAAATTAGAGTTAGAGGTCACGCATGCTTACTGTACTTAAGGTATCGTTCAAATTAATGGACTCATTTGGTAGAAAAATATTAGGAACTATATTTCCCTGATCCATGCAGTGTGATTTCTACATTTAAATCCTCAAGTATACTTTAAAAAAATAGTACAGAGTAAGTAAAACTGGAAGATTGGATTTTTTTCTCAATTATTTTGTTTTAAAAAAATCTACTTCCAAACATAATTTTCTGGCAAGGACTCCAAGAATTATCAGGAAGTTAAGTAGGAATACTCCAGAATTCTATGCCAATTTTCTTTTTTACTTGAGCCTAAGATGCTAATTAATTGGAAATGTTTATTATTCATAAAAATACATATATTTGGGACATTGTAAGAAGGATCCTTTGGTAACTTAGCAAGACAGCATCACTTTCCATGTTCTGCAGGTAAAGCTAAGGATTTAAATGTGTTCTTACCTGTAAGAATTGAACTCGTAAGTTAGATTTTATGTTACATTACTAGAATCAATGAAATTCCTAAATTGGACTGAATCATTCTCAGAAGTGAAAGTATCACTAGCTTAGGATATTGCAAAGGTTTTTGTTTGCTTGTTTGTTTTTTAATTCAGAATTTCCTTGATTAAACACAAAAATGTATTAGGTTAGTCGGTCTTCACATTACCAGTCATACCCTTGTTTTGTGATTTCAGTTCATGCTCTTAATGACTAGTATATTTGACCTTTTTTTTCCTTTGTGAACTAATCTTAATGTGGGGTAATTTAACTTTTTATACAATGCCCTCATAACTTCCCCCAAACCCTTAAAAGTATTAAGAGTCTTATACACATGGGTGTATAAGAACACAGTTAAACACTCTTCACACGCTCTCTGACATTATTTCATTTTCTCCTTGGAGCAATCCTGTGAGGTGGACAGCACTGGTGAATATTAGCATTTTGTAGATGAAATATCTGAAGTCCAGAAACCTATTTTATTTATTCACACCCGACATGAAATATTCATTTGTCTTGAATGTGTTATATAGATTCGGTATCCTCAAGTTCTAGCTGGAAGGTGTAGCTGTGAAGTTGTAAACACTTTTTTAATAATCCTCCAAAAAGGAACTACAATTTTACTTTATTTAAAAAGCATGTATGTAGTTCTTAGTATGTACCAGAGACTGCTCTGAAGGCTTTATAAAACCTATTTAAATCCCTTAACAATCTTATGAGGTAAGTGCCATTATTATCCCCATTTTACAGATGAGGAAGTTGAGGCACTGATGGATTAAGTCACTTGCGAGCGTTCACATAGCTGGTAAATTGGTGAAGCCAGAATTTGAACCTGGGAAGCCTGGCTCCAGAGTTCATACTCTTAATGACGCTACGCTGTCTCCCTTGATTCCCTCGGTATCAGACAAAGAGTGAACTGAGTTTAGTAGTAACTAAATGTTCCTAGCAATAGTTGCAAGACACATGCTTCCCTTTGCCAAGTAAGTCAGCGGTAACAAACAGGATCAGAACCTGGCAGTAAGAACAAACCTAAACAATATATGGCTAAAAGAAACATCAGAATATTCAATAATGTTAGACCACAATGATAAATCTCTGCAATGTTAGCTTACCAGCACACACAGCCATGGAAAGGGTCATTGTTATAAAGTGGACAAGCGCTGAAAAGACTAGCTGAAATTTCTTAGGCCGACAGGCTTGGTAAATCTAATTTTAATTTCACAGAAGACTGGCCAAAAGGAAGAGAGAAAATTAGGATAAAGGAAAGTAAGTAATAGGAAACAATTTAAAGTTTTTATATCCAAGATCCTCCTTCTAAAGATACCGTGTTTACTGGATTTTCATTTGTTATATCTATATGTTAAAAATGCCTTGGTTGTATTAAAAAGTCTATTGAATATGTGGGTTTCTAATTTTGCTATTGCCCAGATTGGTATTTAAATATATGGAGTAAAAGATTAGTCTATACTTCAAATTGTCTTTCAGTTGCATGTTTTAGAAGTGTTCGTTATGACTATACCTACACCAAAATTCATATTGCTGACACCTACATAGCAGCCAAATGACTCAGAAACTGCCCTATAGTAAACATAAAATCCTGTTATAGAATCTCAGTAAGGCAAACATCCCTTGTTAGTTTGACTCATTGAAGGACAACTTAGTTACTTACCTATGATTGACTGAAATCCCCAGAAGAAATATTTTTATATTAAATAAGTACATGAGTACCTACTATGAGCAGACATTGTGTTCATTAGTGGAAATACAGTGATAAGCAAAACAGATACAGTCCCTGACTTGAGTTTATAGCCTAAGGAGGGAGGCAGATATTAATACCACGTATAAATAATACCATAAATATAAATATAGTAAGTGCTATATACTGAGTGCTATGGAAGACTATACTAGGGGATCTAATTTAGATTTAAGCATTCAAGGATGACCTCTCTGAGGAGGTAACAATTAAGATGTAAATTGGATTACATCACTTCCCTGTTCTAAACCCTTCAGTATTCTACCTAGGATAAAAGCTAAATTTCTGGCAGTGCTGAAGTCCTGCCAACTGTCCGACCTCGTGTCAAGCTGCTTTGCTCCCTACTCACATTGCCTCAGCCCCACTGGTCTTAGCACCAGGTTCTTTTCCATTTAGGAGTTCAAACCATTCTTTTTTTTTTTTTCTTGTATTTTACACGAAGGTTTACAGAGCAAATTTGTTTCCCATTAAACAATACACATATTGTTTTGTAACATTGGTTGCCACCCACGTGATGTGTCAACACTGTGCCCTTCTCAACCTTAGGTTCCCCATTACCAGCTTTCCTGTCCCCTCCTGCTTTCTTGTTCTTGCCCCAGGGCTGATGTGCCCATTTAGTCTCGTTTGGTTTTATGGGCCTATCTAATCTTTCACTGAAAGGTGAACCTCAGGAATGACTTCAGTACTAAGTTAAAAGGGTGTCTGGGGGCCATGGACCATTATTTTCTGAACTCTGACTGGCTGCTGTTGTTAGCTGCCATCAAGTCTGTCCTTGACTCGTGATGACCCCATGCAGAACAAAATGAGATGCTTCCCAGTCCTGCACCATCCCCATGATGGGTTTCAGATCAGATCTTTGTGATCCACAGGGTTTTTATTGGCTGATTTTTGGAAGTAGAACACCAGGCCTTTCTTTCTAGTCTGAGTCTGAAAGCTCCACTGAAACCTGTTCAGCATCATAGCAACACGCAAGCCTGCACTGACAGGTGGTGTCTGTACATGAGGTGCATTGGCCAGGAATCAAACCCAGGTCTCCCATGTGGAAGGCTACCACTGAACCACCAATGTCCTCATAACTCCTATTTATCCTCCAGGCCTCTGCTTAATTGTTCACTGGCTGCTACATGGAACATGGATAGGGGGATGTGAAGGTGAAAGCCAAGAGGCCAGTTAAGAGATCAATTCAGTAGTCCATGGGAGAGGTGAGGGTGATGTTGACTAGGGTGACCATAGTGGAAATGGAGAGTAGATACTTCCAATAGGTATTTTAGAGGTTGATCTGGCTGAACTTTGTGTTGGATTGGATGGGGAGAGAAGAAGAGAGGAGAGGCATGGATGGCCCACATATTTCTGGCATGAGCAACTTAGTGCATAGGGCTGCAATTTATTGTGTTGAAAATACTAGAGAAAGAAGTTTGGCGAAAAGATCAATTGTTCAGCTGTGGACCTCTTATGTTTCAATTTCTTATAAGAGAACCAAGTGAAGATAAACCAGGCAGGCATTTGGATAGACGTGCCTAGAGCCCAGAAGAGATGTCTGGATTTGAGAGTTGTATCCATTGGAGTGCTTTCTGCTATAAGGAACAGAAATCTGACTCAAAGTGGTTTTAAAAATATCAGATTTTATTGGTTCACATAATTTAAAGTCTAGAGGTTGGGTGGGTTTCATATGCAACTCACTAAGGGCCCTATCTCTGTTCTGTAACTCAGCTCTACCCTCTGTGGTTGGCTTTATCCCCAGGCTGGCTTTTGCCATGGTTTTGAGAAGGCTACCAACAGCAATGAGGGCCAGAGACTCCCTCACTCATGTCTAGTGGAATGTGGGCTCACTTTCCATTCTTCATTCTTAAGAGCAAGGGAAGTTTTTCTAGAAGCCCTCTCAAACCTCTGCAATTTGATTTAGGCCTGCCAATCCAGGAACCAATCCCTGACAAGGGTTAGCCATATTGGTTTATGCTAATCAGTACCTCTGGAGTTGAGGTCAATTCCCCAAACTTGACACAGCTTCTACAC